AAGAAACGAAGAGAGAGAGAGAGAGCAGGTGGGAGTGGGTGAGCTGAGGGGACGTGGGCAGGGGGAGACGTGCGCGGAGAGGACATGCGCGGCAGAGGAGAGAGAGAGAGAGAGAGAGAGGGGGAGAGAGAGAGAGAATAAAAGAAAATATTTGTACATTCAAATATTAATCGCGATCCGATGGCCCAAATTAAAAACCGAAAGTGGTCTACGGGTCCAAAATAAGCCTCGCACATAAAAAGGGACAAAGGCCAAATTAATTAGACCAAATCATAACGAGGGAGGTCTACTAGTCCAAATTCGCACGTGATCAAAAACTCCCATTTTTCCATCATTCCTGACAATCTCAACGTTGACTACCATAATATTGACACCGTCCAATTTATTTTGTCCCGAAACTCCCGGAAATCGACTGCCAAGTTCGGGATCCAAATAACGGCCAAATTTGATCGAGTGCGATTCTAGCGAAATCTCTAATTTAAAATGATAACCGGGAGTGATCAGTTCCCGGACGAGATTTTACTATAAGCACATTGACAAATTACGCGTTTTATAAATCCCAAAAATGGGCCGAAATTCGGGATGTCACGTAAAGTGAGCGATATACATAATTTTTTGCACTTCTAGTGTCGTTCTCCATATTATCAAGAAACAAACCAAACATGTATAGTTCTAATTTCTACGGAAAAGTTTCCTACCAAACGTGCTTTCGCGAAGATGGAAAAATAAAAACAAAAATAGTTTTCATTTTCAATGAACTGATAATGACTTCTTGAACCAAATGGGCCATAACCCATGAGAAAATATTAGACTTGACGCTAGTTATTTTCAGTGAAATTGTTTCGCTATAAGAAACTTTCCATGAAAAATATTTTTCAAGAATAATACTTTGTAAAATCGTCCTTTTTTTCTATGGTCACGTAAGGCTACAACCTCCATGGTCGTGGTGACGGGCTCATCTCCACCGCGTGGCTTGATTTAGACAGAGAGAGATGCGGCTACGGAGGTAGCGACCTCCGTCGATTCGCTCCGATGGAGATCTGTAGCCACACTAGGCCACGACCTCCATGACGTGTTCAGGTAAAATATTCTTGCCGTTTTTTTTTCATTAAATGGTTACTGACTCAGCACTCTTTTTAAAATTCAATTTTCTCATCTCAGCAATTTGTCCTTTCCTTCTTTTTGTCCTAAAAGAAAAAGTTCGTTGATGTCATCGGCAAAGTTCATGTAATGGAATCTTCACTTTTCAATTAATCGTCAAATTTGTGTCATCAGCGACAACTAGGATCCTTGCTGTGCCCTAAGAAAGCCTTTATATTTGTGTCTAACGAAGAAATCAACACAAAGTGATAAGAAAAGAAAAGGAAATATCACATTCGATTTGTTGTACTTTCACCGTAAAACTTACAAATTCAAAGTCGTGCAATTTAAATTGTCGTAATTTTTTCAATCATATTCTCTTTAGCAAATGACATTATAAGGTGTATATAGTTCGGTATTTTTACGATGAGAAAGCCCACCTAACATGGATAAGCCCATCTAAGATGCCAACTAGTGCCCAAACAGATGAACTAAATACGTGATATGGAGATTAAAAAATATTAGATGAATATTTAGAACTAGGCGTATCAATAATACTGCCATGAAGATGGCAATTTTCTCGATAAGATTCGCGCGATCCAATACAGTCGACTCCAATGGATATCTTGTCCCCTAATGCAATGCCCAGACCCTAACCTTCCTCACTTAGTCTATGTAGCAAGCAAAAGATGAACAAGATTCAAGCTTTTAAGTGATATTCAATATAGAGAAAGGGTGAAAGAGACAGAGGAGAAAAGGAACAAATGATAGAGTAATGTTAATGGTGATCTCTTAGTTTGTGTTTTCTCTAGAAGATGCCTTTGGATATATAGAGAAAGGAAAAGACACACGGGAGAATTCTATTTACAAAAAGTAATTCAATTTATGAACTTTATCTTCTTGACCAATTTCTATATAGCCTTCATGTTCAAACATAAGTTTCTTCATTTAAATCGCTATTTAGAAAGGGAATTTTAACGTCGATTTGACGAATTACCAAATTATGTATAGAAGCTAAAACCATCATTAATCTAATTGTTGTACGCCTTGTTACCAGAGATTAAACATAAAAGTAATCAAGTGCCACTAATCTTGCCTTACATTTATCTAAGGAAAATTTCAAATAAGGGCGCAAAGTGAATGAGTTTTCTCAAAAGAGGGCCCGGGATGAACGTTGTCTCAAGTAAGAATCTAAAATGGCCAAAGGCTTAAACTCGACAGCCGGTTAAATCTTCAGCCAGCTAGCTAGCACATGCTTATTTCGACAGCACAACCAAGGACATAATTGTCCAAAGACATTTCTTTTTTTCTTTTTATATCTTTTCACTTTTTTTCTCTTCTTCCTCTTTTACTCACGTTTCTCTCGAGATTTGGCCATCTTCCATGGCCGTCGGCCAGCATTTAAGCGTCTTCTTGGTCAGCTCTTTAGATCTGGTCGTCCATGGCCACCAGTGTCGAATGAGCCATCGTTGCTCGTGGCCATCTTGAGCCGATCTTCATTTGTCACGAACTCCTTCGTGAGCAGGTAGTCCTTGATCCGCTCCCGCTTCAAAAGCTGGAGCTTGCAATTGGTCAGTGGCATGACGATTGGGCCTCGTAGCAGCCTTTAACCCATCTACTTCTACTACTTTTGGTTGACATGCGAGTGCGGTGCCGCTGGCTCAAACTTCTTCTTCTTCTGGTCGAAGCCGCGCTGCTTGCAATTGCTAGACTGGCAATTGAGGGTTTTCCTGTTGGAGTTGTCCCATGGCTCTTTAGAGGTTTTTGGGGGCAAAATCAAGGTATTGAGAGAGAAATCAGAGGCGTTTTTACTGGAAATTGGCTTTGGGAACAAGTCAAACATATGCTTTTAAGTGTAAAGAGAGAGACGATCGCTCATTCAGTGCCGGTGGCCAAGGACAGCCAGATTTGAAGAGCCAACCAAGGCGACACTTGAACGCGGTGCCAATGGACATGGAAGACGGCCAGATCTGTAGGTGAGCTTGAGATTGCAACTTCCCTCCAAGCATGAAGGAGATGAACAGTGAAAAGATAGAAAAAGAAAAAGAAACTAAAAGAGAAATGTCTCCAGACAAAGATGGCCACGCTCGTTCTACGGGAATAAGCATGTGCTTGCCAATAAGTGATTTCAGACCTTCGTTTGAGATCAAATGTTTACTTCAAGCTCTTATTTGAGATGATGTTTATTATGGACTCCCTTTTGAGAAAACGCATCTTTTGGTACCATCCGGTTTTAATTTTTTTCGTCAACACCCATTTAGAATCTATAGTTCTAGTGTTAGGAGGAAGATTAGCTTATGACCACGTATTATTTTGCTTAATAGATTTTACCTCAACGTCCATTGCCAATTACAACTCTTTGGATCATCTGCCAAATCAATAACATAAGTGAAGAAGTCGGGTACAAAGACTTTTCTTATTCTTTCTATTGTTAAATGCTAAACATACTTCGCCAACTAAATTTGCTTAATAAGTTGATGTAGCAAATTCCTCTTAAGTGAAGCTCGCTTAAATAACTTTCGAATTCCAACGCTAGAAAACTGTCAAACTAACCAATAGATAAGAGCTAAAAAACAAGATAACTACTAGATAATTTAAAACTCTTGGTCTAATAAATTAAACGAACCAATAAAATTTTTAAGAATATTAAATTATTTACATTCGATGAACTTATGTTGTGTGTCTAATTGACACACAAATATATTCCTCAGCTGCCAAATAGAGAGAAAATGACCAAAAAAGTTCTAAAATTATTTTTACGACGGTCAAATCAGTTATAAACTTTTCAATTATATCGATTAAGTTCTAAATCTTTTCAGGATTTGCCAATATAGTCTTTTTTGTCAATTTTGACCGAAAATCATTGATGTGATGATCCGGTCACTGCTATCCATCCTATGTGTCGTAAACAGCGTTGGCGTAGATAATTTTTAATTTTTTTATAATTTTTAAAAAAATTATGATTTTTTCTTTTTTTCCTTGTTGCCAGTGGCCGGTCTCAAGCTATGGCAAGGATCACGACTATTTAGGCGCTTGCCATTGTCAAATCAAGATTGTGATTGCTTTAAAGATAGCCATTGTCCCTATTCCTTTCTCCATAGGGTTCTCTCTCTCCCTTGGATATGAGAAATATTATCTAACCCAACCCGATAACTTTTATTTAGGTCCATATTCACGTTAAGTCTGCATTTTATCACTGTGCGATAACTAAAGTCTCCATACAAGTGTTTGTATTTTCTAATTTAATAAGGCCTTCATCTTTGTGTGTCTACATAATCAACAAAAGCGAACAAGAAATTTCCCGCTCGTCGTTCCCGACGTTCGCCTTGCAATCCCTTCCAATCGTATGGGGCCCAACCACTGGACTCGACCTCCGCGGCAAAGCCCCAAAAAAAAAATCATCGGACCTAGGCAAGCCCATTACGGTCCATGGGCCTGACCAGGCCTAGGTAAAAAAAAAAGCGACACGGCGAGTCAGCTAACGGGCCATGCTTGGGCATGGGCACAACCACCGGACTCAACCCCAAAGGCCAAATCCAAAAAGAAAATGTCGGTCCATTAGGGCCCCATGGGCCCGAATTGGGCCTAGGCACGGTGTAGGACGTGGCCTGCCACCTCATCCATGGCCGTGCCTGGCCGTGCATGGCCTACTATCGATCCCTACCCACAAGAAAAGGAAGTTGCATCCATCCGCGTCATCCAAAGACGACATACTTTACATTTCTTGTCGGTTCGCATTCCGTTGACCCAACACTCATCAGCAAAAAGTTGCTCGAACAGGGAATGCTCCAGACAGAGCAAAAGCAAAATGGAGATGACAATCACACATTGAAGTAGAAGTTCCATGGATTTTCCATCAATTTGAGATCTCAAAAATCTACAATTTGTATGGACACTACGGACTCTAATAGCCGAACTTGTCGATCAAAATCAAAATGAATCTTTTCAAAGATGAAAAACTCATCTGCGCGCTGCTACGATTTCCTCCCCTGGCATCTTCCCTGGCGGAGACTGATCTGGAGACTCCGGCAGCCTCGCCGAGAAGTTCCTCGCCGGGGACTCCCCATCCCACTCCCGGCTCCGGTCATCCTCGAAGTTGAGCGCGTAGCTCGTCGGGTCGTACCCGAACTCGGAGGCAGCAGCCACGGCGGCGACCTGGCCCTGCCTCCTCCGGCGGCTCCCGATCCGAGCGACGAGGCTCTGCCACTTGTCCCGGATCTCCTGGGCCATCAATCGGAGCCACGCACAGGGTGATCGAGCCGCCCTGTGGCGGCCGCCCTCGTCGCGGCCCGAGGAGGCGGCGGTGGCATTGCTGCAGCCATTGTGGAGGCGGCAGAACAGGAGGCGCGGGGAGGACGATATGAGCTTGTGAATGAACAGCATTTTGGGTGTGTGAGGATGAGGTTGGAGGGTAATTTATAGGGCAGACGGGATAAGGACGGTGGCACGCGGCGGCGCAAGCGGCGGAGCAGAGCGGAGGCAGTGCTGAGTGATGTATCGCGGGCAAGTGGGGACGCGGTTTCTCGAGTTTATCCCGCGTGACGTTACGTTTCGTTTCAGTTTTTGCCCCATCACTTCATTTTTGGGGCAGCTTCGTAATTAAGCAAAAGTCGAGGGACCGGATAAGGGATAAGCTGCTGCCTTTTTCCCCTTTTCCGTGTTTGCCATGATTGAATTTAAATAATTTTTGGGCAGCACTAGTTCCGCTTCTGTGTGATTAGGTCTGCTCGATTTTCGTCGAAAAGATAAAATTGCCCTCGATTATTAGATTGCAATTTAAAGTGCCGGTCACAAATGATTTTACTTTCCTTTCTTTTTAAGTTTTTCTATTTTCATGTAGGATTTAGTTACCAAAAAAACAAAATTCCCATGTATATTAAAAGATGATGTGTTTTCTTTAATTGTCGGATTTTACTTCCATAAAAATTAGTTTTGATGAAAAGACATATCTCCAAAAAAATAACCTAGTTCTTTTCTATGCCATCGATCATATTTATGGATAAATTGTCCACTAGAATCTGGAAATAAATTAACATAGACAATTTTTTAGCAAAACCATTTGTTTAAAATTTTTTACTTTTGTTGTGCATATCACCATCGAATCCCATCTTATCAGCTTTCTTTTATATATAATGGGATGATAAAGCAAAAAAGAAATTTCATTGAAGATTTTTCAAAATAAAATCACGATTACATTCTTCAACGTGAAATTTGTCGGGCCTAGGCTGGCCCATGAGGGCCCTTGGGCCTAACTCGGCCTAGGCACAAAACGGACATGGCCTGCCACCTAACCGGGTTGGCATGACTCGCTACCGATCCCTCGTCATCTTTAAAGTAAATCCCATTCGTCCAATACTAAATTTTGCTTCTCGTCGGTTCGCATTTCATTGACACGACACTACCTGATCAGCAAAAATTGTTCGAACATGGAAAACTCCAGACGAAAAAAGCGAAAGCAAAACGGAGACGATGATGACATATGGAAGTAGAATTTCCATGAATTTCAGATCTCGAAATCTACAGTAAGTACAGGCAACTTGGATCGCTCCAAGGACTGTTGATAGCCCCCAACTTGTCGATCAAAATCAAAAAGATCTTTTCTTTACAGAGGAAACGACTTCAACTACAAGCTACAACTTCCCTCGGCAACTTCGCCGGCAGCAACCGATCCGGAGATGCCGGCAGCCTCGCCGAGAAGTTCCTAGCCGGGAGCTCCTCGTCCGACTCCCAGCTCCGGTCGTCCTCGAAGTTGAGCGCGTAGCTCATGGGATCGTACCCGAACTCCGAGGCCGCCCCGGCGACGTGGCCCTGCCTCCACCGGCACCTCCCGATCCGAGCGACGAGGCTCCGGCACTTGTAACGGATCGAGCAGGGCAACCGAGCCGCCTCGCGGGGGTTGCTGCCGTCGTCGCAATCGTCCGAGGAGGAGGCGGCCTCGTGGTAGGCGGCGGCAGCGGCGGCGTGGCCGTCCTGGAAGCAGCAGAAGAGGAGGCACGGGGAGGACGGTGATCGGAGCTTGTGATTGAGCGACATTTCGACAGAAAGAGCGACGAACTCGTAGCCTTGGCGTGGTCGGTGGAAGACCGTGAAGGGAGGGAATGGCGATGATGAAGAAGATGGAGAAGAGGATGAGGTTGGTTGGGTTTTGTTTTATCTATAGGACGTGGCAGAACAGAGTGGAAAGTCCACGTGGGAGTGACGATGAAGAAAACCGAGGGTTTGTTCGCGGGGGCAACTGGGAAGCGGTTTTTTTTGCGTTAATCCCGCGTGAGGTTTGGGGTGGTTTGGTAATTAAGCAAAAGTCGAGGGACCCCATAGGTCCTGCCTTTTTTAAAGTCTTTCTTTTGTTTTACTAAAGTTGGAATTTAAATAACTTATTTATGGGTTTTATTAGAACTATCAAATAGGCGGATTGAGTCCGGTCGAAAATGGTTCGAGCCGAATTGACCCATTTTCATGTAATACAAATTTAGTGATTCGTACCCAACACGTATCCGACCAAATCCATATTGCTAAAACACTATTATTTTTATCTCAATCTAGAAAATCTCATACCCAAACTAAGATGAAAGCACGGAGTAAGCGAGCACAATCGAGTGAAGGCGAGAGAGAGCGAAGAGAGAGCAATAGAGGTAGGTTAGATCTAAGTAAGTTGTTAACCCATTTAACATTTACATTATTTGAGCCTTATCGTTCTAAATTCATTTATGACTTATTTATTGAATATTACTAATCCATAAAACAGTCCAAACTAGCAAATATGGGTTAAGAAATGGATTTATGTCCTATTTTGACAAATCTAAATTTCAGCATACAACCACATAAATAGAGAGAATAAATGCAAAGAACATAATTGTGACTTCAAAGTCTTGACTCCTAACCATAGTCTCCTGAAATAGCTGCAACATGGGAAAGATGATTTATTTGAAGTTGGAGAATCCGTAATCTTGGAAATGTGATGGACACGATTAAATCCAAAAAGAAAATCAATAAAATTTGGAATATCGCAGTCTAAGCAAGTATAACTTGGAGGCAAGACGACAAAAGAAAGGGGATTAATCGGGATTTTTCCCGTGATATCAAATCAAATATTCGAAGGTTCGAATCCCTCTATCACCTCCAAATTACTATCACTCTTGATTTTCTTTCAATGTCTTGAGAAAGCGTATTATATAAATCGATCTACACACAAATAAATTATTAAAATCGAGGATTCAAATTGGGTTACTCCAATAATTTTTTTTTGTTCGAAAATGAATGTTTCATTTACATCTTAAAACGATATATGAGGGGCTCAAAACGAAACAAATCTCAACAGCAAAAACAATAACATCACGAACCGCCGTGATGAGCACACTTGCATCTCATAAGAATGAATATGTCTTGGCATCAATACAGAACTAATGGCGGCCAATTATTAAAGTTAGTAAGAATGAATCATTTTATTCCATAAATGCCCTTACACTAATCTCCACTTATCTCATTCGCGTGGCACTAGCTCTTCACTTGGTGGTTTCACAGATTTCCAAGCTGGTTTTCCCACATACCTGGTTTTCCCACATACCAAGAACTGCTTGCTCTCTCTCTCTCTTGTTGTAATAAACGAGATTGTCCCGCGGTGCATGAACGAAACGTGGGTACGATGAACGTTCCCTAATACTCAGTAGCTATGACATAATCATTGTCATTAACTATTAATTAAGAATGATGGGGTAGGTCATGTTGTTTTGGTTTGGATTCTAGTCATTTTATGACCCGAGCGTCTCGCGTGATTGTTGGGCTCGTGTGGTTCTCGAAGTACGAGTCCGCATATGAGAGGGCTCCACAAGAAAAGAAGGTTTTTTTTTTAGTCGACCCAAGAAAAGAAGTTAGCATCCATGTTATCCTTAAAGTTTCCCATTCATCCAATACTAATTTGCTTCTCGTCGGTTCGCATTTCGTTGATGCAACGCTACTCAATCAGCAAAATTTGCTCGAACACGAAAAACTCCAGGCGAAAAGCTAAAGCAAAATGGAGACGATGACGACGCATCGAAGCAGAATTTCCATGAATTTCAGATCTCGAAATCTACAATATGTACAGACAACTTGGATCCCTCCAAGGATTGTTGATAGCCCCCACCCAACTTGTCGACCAAAATCAAAAAGATGTTTTTTTTACAGAGGAAACGACTTCAACTACAAGCTACAAACTTCCCTAGGCAACTTCCCCGGCAGCAACCCATCCGGAGATGCCGGCAGCCTCGCCGAGAAGTTCCTAGCCGGGAACTCCTCGTCCGACTCCCGGCTCCGTTCGTCCTCGAAGTTGAGCGCGTAGCTCATGGGATCGTACCCGAACTCCGAGGCCGCCCCGGCGACATGGCCCTGCCACCACCGGCACCTCCCAATCCTAGCGACGAGGCTCCGGCACTTGTAAAGGATCAAACAGGGCGACCGAGCCGCCTCGCGGGGGTTGCTGCCGTCGTCGCAATCGTCCGAGGAGGAGGCGGCCTCGTGGTAGGCGGCGGCGGCGGCGTGGCCGTCCTGGAAGCAGCAGAAGAGGAGGCACGGGGAGGACGGTGATCGGAGCTTGTGATTGAGGGACATTTCGACAGAGAGAGCGACGAACTCGTAGCCTTGGCGTGGTCGGTGGAAGACTGTGAAGGGAGGGAATGGCGATGAGGAAGAAGATGGAGAAGAGGATGAGGTTGGTGGGTTTTATCTTATTTATAGGACGTGGCAGAACAGAGTGGAAAGTCCACGTGGCAGTGACGATGAATAAAACCGAGGGTTGTTCGCGGGGGCAAGTGGGAAGCGGTTTTTTCGCGTTAATCCCGCGTGAGGTTTGGGGCGGTTTGGTAATTAAGCAAAAGTCGAGGGACCCCATAGCTGCTGCTGCTTTTTGTTTTTGTTTTATCTCTCTTTTGTTTTGCCAAAGTTGGAATTTAAATATCTTTTTAATGGATTTTATTAGACCTATCAAATAGATGGGTCAGATCCGATCAAAAATGGTTCGAGCCGAATTGACCCATTTCCATGCAATATAAATCTAATAAATCGTACCCAACACATATCCGACTAAACTCATATTAGTAAAATACTTCTATATTTAACTCAATCTAGAAAAATCATATACAAACTAAGGTGAGAGCACGATGTGAGCAAGCGCCATCGAGTGAAGGCGAGAGAGAGTGAAGAAGAAGTAATAGAGGTGGGTTAGGTCTAAGCAAGTTGTGAACTCATTTAACACTTATACCATTTTAAACCCATTCATGATCCATTTACTGAATATCTAATTAACCCATATAACAATCCAGCCTAATAAATATGGGTTAAAACATAGGTTTATGTCTCATTTTGACAGGTCTAGATTTCATCATACGACCATATGAATAGAGAGAGTAAACCGTGACTTCAATATCATGACTTTCGACCTTAGTCTCCTAAAGCAGCTATGATGCAGGAAAGATGATTTATTTAAAGTTGGAGAATCCGTAATCCTGGGTTTATATCGAAAAAGAAAATCAATAACATTTGAAACACCAAAGACCAAACGAGTAAAACTTGGAGGCAAGACGACAAAAGAGAGGGCATTGATCAGAATATTCGATTTTTCACGTGATGTCAAATCATATATCCGAAGATTCAAATCACTCTATCACCCCATGTTATTATCACTTTTCACCTTATTTTTTTAATGTCTAGCCAAATACTAGCTTCGAGCCAAGTTAATGCATTTTCTTTTTGAAGCGGATAGGTGATGTTTAGGCCGGCTAAACCAATACCTTATTGGTGTGTTGATGCATCTCTTATACACATGTTGATGCGCAAATTGATCCCAAGCTTGAGAAAGCGTGTAACATAAATTGATCTGCATACACAAATAAATTGTGAATCTGGGGTTCTAACTGTGTTACTCTCAAAATTAAAGTTAGTAAGAATGAATCATTTCATTCCCTACATGCCCTTGCACTAATCTCCACTTAATCTCATTCACGTGACACAGCTCTCCACTTCTAATGGGGGTTTCATAGATCTCCAAGCTGGTTTTCCCACATTCCTAGAATTTGCTTGCTCTCTCTCTCTCTCTCTCTCTCTCTCTCTCTCTCTCTCTCTCTCTCTCTCTCTCTCTCTCTCTCTCAAGTTATAATAAACGAGATGTCCTGTGGTGCATGAATGAAACGAAAGCACGATGAATGTTCCCTAATACTCAGTAGCTACGACATAATCATTATAATCAATTAATATATAAGAATAATGGGGTAGTCACTAGTCATGTTTGGTTTGGATGTTAGTCATTTACGACTCGCGTGATCGTGGGGCTCGTGTGGTTCTCGAAGTGCGAGTCCGTATATGAGAGGGCTTCACGTCAGTGTGGATGGTAGTGAGCGTTCGAGGGAATGGTTCATGCACCCAATCATCGGTGCTCAATGCCGGACGTTTGCTCACCCGATAATTGGGAAAATTATTGAAAATGTCGTAAATTTATTATATTTGTATCAATTCAGTCTTAAACCTTTCATTCGTACCAATTGAGTTAAAAATATTTTCGCGTTTTGCCAATTGAATCTATTCGGCCAAATTTAACTAGAAATTGCTGACGTGGATGCTAGTAGTGCCACGTAGGACGGTCGGCGTTGACGTGAATAATTTTTATAAATTTTAAAAAAAAGTTAAAATTTTTATAAAGTTTTTAATTTTTTCTTTTTTTTTTCTTTTCTTTTCTTTCTTTTCTTTTACGAGCCCAGCAAGAAGGCCTTCCTGGGCTTGGAAGAAAAAAAAAAGGAAAAGAAAAAAGAAGAAAAAATTAAAAACTTTATAAAAATTATCTATGTCAGTGCGAATCGTGCCACATAAAACGGTCGGCGTCAACGTCAGTGATTTCTAACTAAAATTAACCGGATACTCAATTGGCAAATCGTGAACATGTTTATAAATAAATTGACACAGTTGAAATATTTATGACTAAATTGACATAAATTTAATAAGTTTATAACTTTTTTGGTATTTTCTCTCCGACAATCTAGTATAAATAATAGGTAAATGTGGCACTTGTCTCTAGGGGTGTATTCAAGTCGAGTCTAGTCAATACTCAGTGCCCTCGAGCTCGGTTTGACTCGATCCGTATGCACGACATTTACAACTCGACTCGAGTTTAATCGAGTATTAAAATTTATGCTCGAGTTCAATTCGACCAGAAAAATCGCGATATTCAAGCTCGACTCAAATAAAGTTGCATCCACATTATCCATAAAGTAAGTTCATTAATGACCAAAAAAAAAATAAGTTCATTCATCCAAGACAAAATTTACTTCTTGCCGTTTCGCATTTCATAACAGTGATCAGGCAAAATGCTCGAACACGGAACACTCCGAACAAAATGCGCAAGCAAAACGAAGACATGATGACACATCGTCGGAGATTTTCCATGAATTTCAGATCTCGACTTGTGGATCAAAATCAAAAGCATCTTTCGAGAAAAAGACTTCAACTAAATGCTACGACTTCCCTCGGCATCTTCGCCGGCAACATCAGATCCGGAGACACCGGCAGCCTTCCCGAGAAGTTCCTTGCCGGGAACTCCTCGTCCGAATCCCGACTCTGATCGTCCTCGAAGTTGAGCGCATAGCTCATGGGATCGTACCCAAACTCCAAGGCCCCGGCAACGTGGCCCTGCCCCCACCAGCACCTCCCTATCCGAGCAATGAGTCTGCGGCACCTGTGCCGGATATCCGGCAGCGGGAGCTCCTGGGCCGTGGAGCGGAGCCACGAGCAGGGCGGTCGAGCTGCCCTGCGACGGTAGCCATCGTCACAGTCCAAGGAGGTGGCCTCGTGGTAGGCGGCGGCATGCCCGACGACGAAGCAGCAGAAGAGGAGGCACCGGGAGGATGGTGATCTGAGCTTGTGATTGAACAACATTTCGACAGAGAGAGCGATGGACTGGAAAGAGAGTGAAGAGAGTGAATGGTGACGAGGAAGAAGATGGAGAAGAGGATGAGGTTGGTGGGTTTTATTTATAGGTCGGACCGGATAAGGACGCGATCGTGCGGCGGCGTCAGCGGCAGAGCAGTGCGTGTGACGAAGAAAACCGTGGGATGTTCGTGGACAAGTGGGAAGCGTTTTTTTGCGTTAATCTCGCGTGGGTGTTTTTACTTTATTTTTCTCAACTTATTTTTGGGCAGTTTGGTAATTAAGCAACAGTCGAGGGACCACTTAGATGCTCCTTTTTTTTTAATCTCTTTTGTTTTACCAAAGTTGAAATTTCATTAACTTTTTTATCGGTTTTATTAAACTTGTTAAACGGGTGAGTCGGATCGAAGATAATCCGACTTAAATTGACCCATTTCCAATGTAATATAAATGTAGTGACCCATTCTTAATACATATCTAATCAGACTCATATTGTTACAATACTTTTATATTTAAACTAATTTAGAAAAATTCATACTCAAATTGAGGTCAAAGCATGGAGTAAGCGAGCGCGATTGAGTGAAGACGAGAGAGTGTGAAAAGTGAGTTATTATGAACCCATTTAACACTTATGAATAGAGAGAATAAACGCCAAGAACAAAACAGTGACTTCAATGTCATGACTTCTGAACTTAGTCTCCTCAAGCAGCTACAGTGTGGGAAAGATGATTCATTTGAAGTTGGAGAATCTGTAATCCTGGGAATGTGATGGATACCATTAAATCCAGAAAGAAAATCAATAAGATGTGAAACATCGCAGGCTAAGGATGCGTTTGTTTCGCGAAAAATAATTTCCAAAAAAACACTTTCCTCATTTTCCGGCGTTTGATTTGTTTAGGAAAATAAGTCAACTGAAAATGTTTTCTTAGTCAATAGAAAATGTTTTCCTACCAAAGCTTAAATTCAGGAAAATAATTTCCCCTTTAAAAGAACCAGAAAACTTTTTTCAAAGTATGATTAACTATCGACGCTTGTACCCGAAACTCTACATTTGAGCACGAAAACCCCCACGTTAGTTTCCGAGTCTCGACATTCAGGACCAGATGTCGATGGCCAGGCTCGATGTCCAGGGCCTGGGCCCCCGGCACCTATGCCCGGGTCCATCAAGGTTGAACCCGAACCCCTAGTTCCCGTACTCGATGCTTCAACACGCAAACTCGGGTCCATAAAGGCCATGCTTAGGCCACCAATACTCAAGCTCTAGTCCCGACCCTCCGACCCGAATCCACAAAGGCTGTGCGCAGGTCATCAGCGCTCAGGCTCGGATCCTTAATGAAACGATTGTTTTTATAAAAATATTTAATTAAAAAAACGAATTTTTATTTATTTATTTATTTTTAAAAATCATTTTATATTAGTTTTAAAAAAATCGAATTATTTTCTTTCTTTCCTTTTCTTTTCTTTTTTTTCTTTTCTTCCTTTTTCTTCTTCCTTATGCCGGTCGCCGGCCACGGCGACAGTCGGCAAGCTCGCGGCAGCCTTTGGCGGTGAACCTCAAGCTCGAGGCTCGATCGATCCAAGCGAGCTCGAGCTTCGCCGAGGTCGGCGAGCCCAGGCTCGGCCGAGGCCGGCAAGCTTGTGACTAGCCAGATCCAGGCGAGCCCTGGCTCGATCGAGGCAAACGAGCTCGAGCTCGCCTATGGCCATTGTCAGGCAAGCCTTGAGCTCACCCGTGGCCATCGCCAGCTGGTCGCAGTTGAGGGAAAAGGAAAAAGAAAAGGAAAGAAAAGAAAAAAGAAAATAAAAAAATAAAAAAAATTTCAATTTTTTCAAAAAAATAAAATAAAAAATAAAAAGAGAAATAAAAAATAATTAAAAATTCGATTTTTTTTAAAATAAAAAATATTAAAAAATCATTTTTTTTTCCTAAAATGAAGTCATGAGATTTAAATCATTTTCTAATGAAATCCAAACATTAGAAAACGATTTTCATTATGGATCACTAAATAAAGGAAAACTAAACGTATTCATGGAAAATGATTTTCTGGAAAACATTTTCCTTTATCATTAAGTTTTCCGTTAAACAAACGCAACCTAAATAAGTATAACTTGGAGGCAAGGCGACAGAAGAGAGGGAATTGATCGGGACATTTGATTTTTCACGTGATATTGAATCAGATATTCGAAGATTCGAATCCCACTATCACCTGCCACGTTACTGTCACTTTTCATTTCTTTCAATGTCCCGCCCAATACTAGCTTCGAGTCCTGTTAATGTAGCTTCTTTTGAGCGAATAGGTGATGTGTAGACCAGTTAAACCAATCTTTGTGGGTGTGTTGATGAATCTCTTAAACATGTGTTGAAGCGCAAATTGATCCCAAGCTTCAGAAACCGTGTTACATTAATCAATATGCATGCATAGATAAATTGCGAATCAGGGGTTCAACCTGGGTTACTCCGATAATTAAAGTTAGTAAGAATGAATAATTTCATTCCCCAGATGCCCTTGCACTAATCTCCACTTAATCTCATTCACGTGACACTAGCTCCACTTCCAATGGTGGTTTCATAGATCTGCAAGCTAGCTTTCCCACGTACCTAGAATTGCCTGCTCTCTCTCTCTCTCTCTCTCTCTCTCTCTCTCTCTCTCTCTCTCTCTCTCTCTCTCTCTCTCTCTCTCTCTCTCTCTCTCTCTCTCTCTCTCTCTCGTTATAATAAACGAGATTGTCCCATGGTACACGAACGAAACGAGGGTACGATGAATGTTCCTCATTACTCAGTAGCCGCGACATAATCATTGTAATTAACTAATAATTAAGAATGATGGGGGAGTCATGTCGTTTGGCTTGGATTCTAGTCATTTACGAGCCAAAGCGACTCGCATGAACGTTTGGTTAGTGTGGTTCTCGAAGTGCGAGTCCGCATACGAGAGCGCTCCACGTTGGTGTGGATCAGATTGAGTGTCTGAGGAAATGGTCCATGCACCCAACCATCGGTGCCTGCCACCGGACGCTTGCTCACCCAACAATTTGGTATAAATAATTGGGGAAATATGGTATTTGTCTCTAGGAGTGTCTTCGAGTTGAGTCCGGTCGATACGGTGGCCTTGAGGTCGGTTCGACTCGATCCATATATGCGACATTTAAAAGTCGACTCGAGCTTAATCGAGTATTAAAATTTATGCTCAAGTTAGATTTGACCAGAAAAATCACGATACTCGAGCTCAACTCAAATAAAGTTGCATTCACTTTATCCATAAAGTAAGTGCATTCATCCAAGACAAAATTTACTTCTTATCGGTTCGGATTTAAATCACGCAATACTGATTAGTAAAAATGCTTGAACGCGAAACACTCCCGACAAAAAGCGAAAGCAAAATAGAGACGATGATGACATATGAATGTTGGAGATATAAATATATTTAGGAGATTTTGTGTATTTCTCTTGATTGATTATAATTGTCATTTCAAAACTCAAGCAATATTTCAGTCAACAATTTGAAATAATAGATCTTGGGCGACTAAGCTTTTACGCTTAGAGGTTCATTCAGATTCTTTGGTTATGATATTTCCCAAGCCAAGTATGCCACCAATCTTATCTCTCGAGCCGAACACACAAATAATAAGATCATTACAACTCCTCTTAAGACAAATGCCAAATTTGATGCTTCTCTTTGGAATTCTACACTCTATCAACAACTAGTCAGTAGTCTTCTATATCTGACTGTTACTCAATTTGGTATAGCCTATGCTATCCATATTGTTAGTCAGTACATGACTCTGCCTTGTACTTGGTATAGCCTATGCTATCCATATTGTTAGTCAGTACATGACTCTGCCTTGTACGACTCTATTTGATGGCCTTCACTTTTCTGCTTAGTATACCTTAGAGTTGACGATTTATTCTTATGCTAACTAGATTGGTAACCCTCAAAATTGTCGCTCCACTATGAGTTACTATTTCTTTTTGGGCATCTCACTTCTCTCATGTTGTAGTAGGAATCAAACCACTGTCGCTCGCTCTATTATAAAAGTAGAAAATCGAGCTCTTGCTAAAATCGGATCATGAGTTAAGTAGACCTAGGATGTTAGAATATATATTGTATTTCTTTTAATTGATCCTGTAAAGTCTCGTGTACTCTTTGTTAATGAATGACCAGAAAATTACATTTTTCTATTATCAGAATTCTCAACTTCCAAGCATATATTCCATGAATTTGAGATCACGAAATCTACAATATGTACAGGCACCGTGGATCCCTCCAAGGACTGTTGGTAGCCCAACTTGTGGATCAAAATCAAGAGGATCTTGAGAGAAAAAGACTTCTAACTGCACGCTGCGACTTCCCTCGGCAACTTCGCCGGCAGCAGCCAATCCGGGGACACCGGCAGCCTCGCCGAAAAGTTCGTCGCCGGGAACTCCTCGTCCGACTCCCAGCTCCTATCGTCCTCGAAGTTGAGCGCGTAGCTCATTGGATCGTACCCAAACTCCAAGGCTGCGACGTCGCCCTGCCTCCTGCACCTCCCAATCCGCGTGATGATTCTCCGGCACTTGTACCGGATCTCCGGCAGCAGGAGCTCCTGAGCCGTCGAAAGCAGCCACGAGCAGGGTGATCGAGCCACCTTGCAGTGGTTGCCGTCGTTGCAGTCCAAGGAGGCGGCAGCCTCATGGCAGGCGGCAGCGGCGGCGTTGCTGTCGTGGAAGCAGCAGAAGAGGAGGCAAGGGGAGGATGATCTGAGCTTGCGATGGAACAACATTTTGTGGGTGAGAGAGTGCACGATGGACTCGGAGTCTTGCTCTGGTCCGGTCTATGCAAGACTACAAAGAGAGTGAAGAGAGTGAATGGTGAGGAGGAAGAAGATGGAGAAGAGGGATGCAGTTGGAGGGTTATTTATAGGTCGGACCGGATAAGGACGGCGGCGTGCGGCGGCGCGAGCAGCGGAGCAGAGGCATTGCGAGTGATGGAGAAAACCGCGGGACGTTCGTGGGCAAGTGGGGAAGCGGTTTT